TTATATATATATATTTAATACTGCAACTGTGATGGTAGACTAAACATAATCTCTCCTATAATGATATTCAGCTGAGCATAAAGCAAAGCAGAGAATACTCTGAAGCTATGAACATGCATGTCTGCTCAGAACAAGGGCTGCCGTTTCATCGGCTAGATGCTGAATTTACTATCCATATTTGAAACAGGAAGTCTTCTTTCCTCATTAAAAAGAACAGAGAGAACAGAATCACAAAACAGAAAACCTTAATTAGGTATATATCTCATATTTACTGCATGGGTGGATGACACTCACATACATTTTATCTTTCTAAAGTAAATTACATTTAACCTGTCAAAATGCAGCTCGAGAAAGGGGTACAGAGAACAGATGGAGAGGACATGACACAGGTTAAAAATAAGCTCTAACAAGAAGGTTTTCCTCTCAGATATTCCAGAATACAAGAGAAAAACTATTTATCTGGCAACACAGAAAGATGGTGGCTATCTATTTACCTGGCACTGGAAACCAGTAACAGCATCACACTGGCTTCTGTTCTTACCTGCCTCTGAGCCTCAGCCAGATTGTAGGGCAATGTCCCTTCCTCCAAAGGAGCAATTCTTTCAATATCAGCTAATGTCATGCGCCTGAGGTAATAGATTCAGTTTAGCATTTGCTTAGAGATGGGTGCACAGATTACAAGAAGTTATCAGCACGTGGCCACTACATTACACTCTCCTGTTCCCCAAAACCACCTCCCACTCCTTCCAAGAAGACAGGAGGAAAGGCAAGAGAGGAGGATGGATAATTCTCCACTTACCCCCGTGGCTCATACAGATCTGCTAACTGAAACAAGATGTCAACTTCCATGGGTGTAACCTGACCAAATTTCTGAGCTGCCAGAACAAACTCCTCTGCAGAAGAATAAAAATACAGAAAGGAAAAGCTAATCAAACCAGAACAAATAACCCAGAGCACCCCAGAGTTGCTTTATATTTTAGCACTAAGTAGAAGACACTGGTGAGGGAGGGAGAAGGGGAATAAAGGTGACCCACCACTACATAAATGTATGTTTTAAATGATCTATTCTTCATGAAAATAAGTACAACTTTTTAGTCTTAAAGCTTAACACTACCAGCAGGATTTAGGATATCTGACATACTGTATCAATCAGTTGCAGGTCAGAAGCAAACAGAAAAAAACCAAAAACCAGGAGTCAAGAGATGTGGAATCTTTCATGCACAGTCCCAGTAGGCCACATTAATGAAACTTTGGCATTGCAGAGGGAATTCTCTATAAAAGTGGTTAGATATAGTAGATAACATCTTGTTCCAAGCTTGTAGATCAGCTTACTGTGCCGCCGATACAAGTTTATGGAATTCTTCAACTACCCTTGAAGGTCACTTTAATAGGCTGCCAATTTGGCAGGAGTCCTAGGAAGTTTTTTAAACTTTTAAATATCTTTACATACTTTCCTCACCCTGCCCCCACCGCCAGTTTACTGGGACCTTTTTCTGATTGAAACAAAATGAAAAACCTGGAGGGTGGACTCCAGCAGGAGTGTAAAAAACTGAGTGGCCTACCAAGGAATGCTAACGAGGCAGGCTTTCTCCCCCTCCCATTGATTTAAAGGCATACAGATGAGGTCTTTCCCTCCACCCGCCCCAATCAAATGCCCAAGCAAACTTCCAGACTGCAAACATTTTTACCAACCCTTAGTGACTTCCACATCTTTTCTATTTCCAGCCAGAGTACTGTAGATCTTTCTAATGAGCTCCATGTTGTTAAGGAGAGAATTAAATCCATTAAAATAGGAAAAGCTGACCTGATGGGAAGTGGTACCTCCAGCAGCCTAGAGTAGAGACGGTAAAAGAAGAAAAGAGAAAGGAGACTGTTACAAGACTAAGAAAAATCTTTAAATAAAGGTTTCTAAACAATGTTATTTTACAAGAGCAACAGTAGCACAGGCTGGCTTTTAAAAAAAGAATGTAAAATAAAGAAAACTATGAAAGATTCTTATGTTACTGAAACTAATCATGACCAGAATGTAAAACTCTCCCCACCCTACAAACCTAAACAACCACATATGCAGGATTATAACAACATAACCAGTAGTAATTTACAAAGTTCAAGTTTCAGTACTGCTTCAGTTGGAAATGTTTCATAAGTTGGCTTATTTCTAGTAATGAGGAAATCTACTTCTACATGTAAAGTGTATTACTATACAGAAAATTTCCACAAAATCAAAACATATTCTGAAAAGGTCAAATGAAACATTTAAATTCACAGGCATTTCAAGTTACGGAAAACCAGCAGTAAGCTCTCAGGCTTATATCAGGCAGTCAAATAAAATGGGAACAGTAAGATCCAAACAGTTATTCATTCTCAAATGAGAACTGAGCCTAAACCTTTATTTTAAAGTGGTGTTGGGTCTGTGCACAGAAAAATTATTGGATCAATTCCCTATTTAAAGTACAAGATCGATGATCAAGGAAATATCTGAAAACAATGCATAAACTTGCCAAAATTTAATTGACCTTGAGGGAGAATCAAAAATCTTATCTCATATTTTACGAGAGAGTGTATGAGCCAGTAAAGCTGATAACAAGTCTGGGGAGAGAATTGAGGAAGAAAGTATCAGCTCTCATTGTCAGTCCCTGAGTCTTCTGGCTATGGTTTTTGCTGTATATGATGTCTTCCAGGATTCTGTCCAGACTTTGCAGTTCTCATCACTTCACACATCTCCCTGGCATTCTCCCTTGCAAGTCAAAGCAGAACAGATTTCTTTAAACCTGGATATGGCCAGACAGTGGATTACCTGGAAAGTGCTGCTACAAGTTCCCAAGATTATAAACTGTTGCCAAAACCAAATGTACCTTTTTTCTTCCAATGAAATAGCAGAATTGTAACATTTAATTTGGTCTATGCAGTTCAAGCTGAAAAAAATGTACACTTAACCATAACAACTACCAGTTAATACACAGTGAATGCCCTTGGGTGATGTTCCAGTTCATACACTGTCCCAGGTTCTCAGAAATTACTCTCAGGAGCTTAGAACTGATATTACAAAGCAGGACCTTTAAGGATGACTTCCCAAGTGGGATGCAATGGCATTTTGACATATTTGACACAGTCTCCTATGACGGAATGACTGAAAGTAGTCAGGCAAACTACATTTGTAGGCCATTATTAAGGTCCATCTATATGCTTTGTCTTTTGTCACAGGAGACCAGGAACACTGAAGATACATATTCTGCAATAAGGGTTAACTTTTGTATGTGTAGATTATAACTGCTGATCTTAAAACCATGCATCCATAAACTGGACTATGTGCCACATACAGTGGTTGAGGCACATTAAAAAGGAACCCCACATGAGTATCCCAGGTTGGAATACCAGAACTACTCACAGCTACTAGGCATTCTTCTACAAATGGTGTCAGCATGTGTGGCCGGATAGTGACCATAATGTCCCTGAAGTCCATAGCTGTGACTCTTCCAGCCTGAGCACTGTCTCTCTGCACAAAAGCTTGTTTTGCATGTTCTAACTGTATCTCCTGAAAACATATGGGGGAAAAAAAAAAAGTTAGGTTCAAAATTATCACCTTAATAGTTAGATTTTATATAATGCAATCCTAAAAGATACCTCATACATAACAAAACACAACTATATGTAATGTAATTTTAATTCGATATTTATGCATAACTTTCAGACTTTCCTGTCAGTGGCATATTCTATCGTTGAGCTCAACATCTAGGAGAGCCATCGTGATTTCTTTGTTATCTGGACATCAGGTCATGCAATTCATTTAACTGAGAAATAGAGGACATGTATCAACACATCAGTGCAGGTAATCTCCACTTCATGAACATTAAAGTGTTCCATGATGTGCATTATACAGTTTATTGCATGAGTCACAGCAGGTCAAAATACTTTCTGTAAAAGCATTTGCTACTCCCTGAACGAGGACAATGCAATCATCAGAGATTTCCACGTAGACACCCACTAATCTTGAAAGCATTCCCTCAAAAGCATCCTCATTTAAAACATAAAGTTATTTGTCTACAAAAGACACCAGCAGTTTAATTTAGAACTCCTTGTATTGTGACTGATTAAAGATCAGTTCTCAATATTTCAGCAGTAGTAACAGGCAGAGATCAATCATAAGCATTATCTGATGCAACCACCTGATAATCTCATTTTGTGATTCAAATGTATCCCTGAGAGAACAGGGATGAAAAAAGGCATTTAATCTCTCAAAACTGTATCTTTTCCTACTGTGGCCTTCACCCTTTCTTCATAAATTACTGTTAGACTACTTTCTTATCTCTTTATTTTTTCATTTAAAAGGAACAATCCTGCACAAATAGTAACTTGATAAAACATGTAGGCTTTTTGTTCAGTTCTACAGGTTTGTAAAAACCAGAAATACCTTTTGGTGATGCAGTTAGACTTCCCAATCTATATTTCTTTGCTGAATGGAGGAAAACAAATCATTGCCATGTACTCATAATCAAATTGGTCATTCAGAAAATGGAATCAGAGCAAAAGTATGTCAGCAATACTAAGCAAGTCTTGCAGTGCATCATGACACTATCTGTTATTTCCATTACATTTGCAAATATATGCCTTAGAAATCATATTAAGCCAAGACTCAGGCTATTCAAGAATCACTAGCACAATGTATTCACATATAAGTTGGTATTTACCTCACAGCAGCATCCAAGGGAATAGAGAGTTTAGGGTGAAAGGTAAATACAGCTGGTTTAGGATCACACCTGCCAGAGGTCTGCAGCCACCATTCCTCCTTCTGCTCATTCAGCTCACGCCAAAGCCATGGCTGCACAGTTTTTTTCATTTCAGACTCCTGACCTCTCCAATTTTACTCCTAATTTCTAATTAAAACACTCTACCCTCACCTGAAAGATATGATGAAAACCTCCTAATATATTAGGCAGGAGGAAAGGGGTGGGGAGGAAACGACTGATCAGTGTTTCAAAACTGCATTTCACTCACAGAATTATTCAGAAATTTCTGCTTTTGATGGGAAACACTTGTGGGGGTTATAATTTGAAGTGTTACAATTTCAGTTCTGTCACGTTTCCTTTACATTACAGCCCCCTACATGGAGGTGTTATAATTCAGCAATAATATTCACTCTGGCTGGATGCAGCCATGTAAGCTCATGCTTCACTCCAATTGTGACTATAATTTCAACAGAAACTTGGAAGCAAGCAATTCTGGGAGGTCTACGATGGGAAGAGGACATGAAGACAGAAAAACTTTGTCAGCCTGAGGCAGGCAGCTACTCAGGAGGCAGAGAACTCTGAAGAGGAATTAGGTATGGTAACTCTTGTATTCCTAAACAACCACCATCTGGCAGGTGGAAATGTATGAACAAATGAACAATAAAGTTTTTCATTGAGTGTCAGCACCACCAAAGGAAACATAAATTTAATTCAGCGGGATTACATTGGAAACTGAACTTTCTTCTCTCATTCATTTTGTTTTAATCACTGAAACTACTTGCAGTATTGTGCTGCCAGAATCCAGCACTAAAACACAGTAGAAAACCTGAACACCACCTGCAGAAGTCCAGTCTGTTCCCATCTTTGTACACCCGTCAGCAAGTTTGGAGGTGCATATGCCACTGGCAGGACCTTGGCTGACAGCGATGTCTCAGCCTCAGAAGCAAAGCAGGGCTCATGTTCCAGAGAGATACTTTAAGTGCTTGTTTCTTGTCATCACCAGCTAATTGCAAAAAGGCTGTTAGTACTACAGTTGAGTACAAGCCAAAACAACCCATCCCCTCCTTGCTAATGTGATTCCTTTCAATCTTCTTGGTACATGTGGAACCCACTAGAGAGAAGAATTACCCCACTTGGCTAAACACATGGTCAAGGACTCAGTGCTGCCATTTGCTCGTGTTCTCATCAGCTAGGAAAGAGCCACTTAGCTGTAGTTAGGCAGCAAGACAAAACTCTGAATAGGATGATGTCAGTCTTCTGGAGCTCCCTATTTGTGCCTCCTCCTTAGTACAGAAATTAAATGGTTTAAGCATACTGCAAATAGAGAAGACTCATCCTACCTTCTCAGAAATGTAGGGTCTTTTTAGGCTACAGTTATTTTGAGCTGTGCTATGCATTTTCCAGTGCACTGAGCAGAAAAAAGCACAGGGACCTTCAGGTACATGGTATTCCCAAACCATGACAGCAACATGGGACACAAGATCATATGGACCATTACACCGTGACACAGTCTCAAAACTAAATTTCACCTATAAAGTCTGTCACAAAAAGCAAAGACAGATGTCACTTCCCTGATCACTGTACACTGCGTAACAACGTAATAAACTCCTAAAGTGTTTAACGCAAAAGAAAGGCTACCTACTCCTTCAGTCTCCAAGTATGAAAGTTGAGACACCTCACAGCATGACTCAGTAGCTACAAGCAATTTATCAAGGAAATCTTTATGAGATTTTCTAACATTGCCTATGCTGTATATATGCAGCTGATATAGAAAATACCTCCTTTAAATAAAAAAATAAACAGAAAAACAATAATGTTTTGTGGTGTTCAGAAATGTTATCTGACTTGCAATAGTTTTTGTATTTTCACCTATTTCAGTCCAATATTGTTTACCTAGACAGATTAAGATTTAAAGAAATACAATCCTCATTGCTTTGTAATACAAATTACACATCCTAAAGAACTTCCTCCGACTAGAGTTTCTATAAACTTACATATACATGGAAAACAAGCTTCTCCCTTGATGCTGGAAGTCCAGAACTCTGCCAGGTAGGCAAGACCTAGCAAAAAATTAATTTGCACATCATGGGAGGCATGCTGGCACCACAATTTTCATAAAATTATTTCCTATCTAGAGATTTTTGCTCACCTTTCACTTACAGCTCATTAAAAGCTTCTTTACTTTCCACTTAGACAGAAATATATGTTTGGGTTCCATCCCAATGGATCCACAAGTCACCAGGTACAGCACAAACCTTTCCACTACAGTAGATCCTGGGGTTCAATTACAAAGAGTACTACTTCTTCAACTAATATTTTGGGCACAAACGAATTCCCAGACAATGCAGAAATGGATTTACCAGTCTCATATAAAAGCATGTGTTAAAATTTATCCTGCAGAACAGATTTTACATGCTGAGAAAGGGGCCAATGTTGCTCTTTGTGAGGCAGACTTGCCACTTAAGTGATGATGGAACATGGCCATATCCAAACAGATATAACTGTGACGGATAAATAGTGGAGATATATAAGCTCATTTTAAACTAGCAAAATGAGAAGGAGGGTAACGCAACACACCTTAAGCTCTGGGCTGATGCAAATAGATTGTTATCTGTATTAAAGCCAAGCAGCTTGGAGGCTATACTTCTGGGCATCTCTGTTACTGCAGACAAAAAAAATTGCTGGTAGGATATAAATATTCAGAATCCCATATAAACTCTTCTTATTTAAAGCCAGAAGAGATCCATCCTGTGCATGGATAAAATATACTACTGTTATTTTCCACATACCTTCAGCTTTGCCAGAAGTGATGATTAGCCCAAATGCTGCGACAGATAATGAACATGTAAAAACTTTATGTGGCATAATAGGACCCAACATGAATGAACTTGAATCTAGCTGGATTATTTCATTAAAAGTTGCAAATGGCATTGTACTTACAAAGCAGTACCTGAAGCGCCTCACAGAACCATCTGGTCCATGTTAAGTGCAATGTAAAGAGCATTCACACATCAGGAATGCAGAAAGGTAATTTGGTATCCACTGTGGTCTCCTGCTGTCTAAGGTCCAAGGTCTAGACATCAGACCAAGGAGACTGACTCACGCACAGGCATAATGTCAGAAGGAAAGGCCGAGTACCAAAGGTTACAGAGCTTAAAGGAAGATTTCTATGCTCGAGGACATTACCTCTTCGATTTGTGCTGAGAGTCATTTCTGAGCCCTAACTTCAGTATCTGTAATGCATTGCTGCGAGGCAAAAATCAGCAGGGAAACTTGGGTGCATCAAAGATTTACAGTTCTAGAAAGTGGATAAAGAGATGTACCCAATTACTGTGACAGACTGAGCATCCTAACAGACTGTACTGATAGCAGACAGCTTCAGCAGTCTTAGGACAATTGATTTATGGGACAGTTCTTGCTGTCTGCACCAAATGCTGAGAGCATTTTTATTAGCAGCCTTAGGACTTTTCCTTGAATGCATATCACCTCTCTAGAGGACACCCAGAATCATCACTCTTATTCTCCAGATTTATGCTCCTCCTCCCTCTATAGATCATCACCAAAAGGGCTGCCTGGCTCATGAGGACCACTGATGTGCTCCAACAGCTTTTACTCTGCAAGGCAGCTTTTGCAGGAGAGCCAATTAAAAAATAAAACCTAAACAAACAATAAAGAGGCAGGAGCAAGACACATCAAAACCAAATACAATTCTCCCCAGAATATGATCACATCCAAGAAAAGTCATTTCAGACAAAGAAAGAGGAACATCCCTCCACAGCATGAGAAAGACGAGTAGTTAGGACTCATCTCCAAAATTAGAAAACTCCTGCCTCAGCTCTTGCTTTTCCTAATTCAAAGAAAAAAACGTGAAAGATTCCAAAGACACAAAGAAAGACCTCAATCTTTCCCATGCCAAGCCATGAGTTTACAGGCTCTTTGAGGTCTGCGGCTCTAACCTCTCCTACTGTTCCCTACCACCCCCCCTTTTTTTGGTGAAAAACTGGCCCTCTTTTCATTCTGGATTTTATTTCAGGTTTTCCTCAGATCTGTAAACAGACAGACACATGAGGCAAATAGGAGTGGTACTCTGTTAAGACTGTGATTTTAATCCACCAAAATCAGGATACATAACCAGAGCTTATTCTATTATTGGAAGGAGATCCTAGAACACCAGAACATGTAGCCAGAAGCATTTTTTCCTAATCTAGTAACACATTTGCTTTTTTTATCTGAAACCGCTTCTAGTTCACTATTCTGCCACAAAATTGGTCTATGCCTCAGCTACTTAGGAGTTACAACAGTCAATACAAAACCTAAGGGAATACAGTTTAATCATGTGATACCTGACGTCCTCTTCATACAAAGTTAATTAGGCTCTGTTCTACAAAGTCAATTTGGAACATTTGTCTCAATAGCATTATCTTAATTATTCCTCATCAAAATGATACCACCTCCTACTGTGAACTAACGTACTTGGTGTAAACAAGAAAAAAAGAAACCTTGCAGTCTTGAAGCAGGTTCCCATTTTAAAACTCTCTAGTGTAAATACTAATACAGGCAGTAAGTATTCAGAAGGAATACAAATAAGGAATTCACGTGTTTCACCACTTCAAGGATCACTTTCCTATTGAAGATTATTTTTACCAGTACTGCTGAAATATAGATAAACTATTTTTTTATTAGCACAATATTTTATGTTCTGTAACAAAGAACCCCAACATATGAATAGCCAAGAGTTCCTTGCAAAAGAAAGGTAGTATTTTATACTCTATATACCACAAGCAAAGCTAAATAGCATTTCCCTATCTGAGATACTCTTAATTCAAAAAAGGTCAAAAGTAAAGAAGTATGTGTAAAGGGCTTGCAGCAAAGCATCTTTATTGGATACCACTGACGTAAATACGTTTGGTAAACATGCTGTTTACAGACAGAATTACTTCTTAATACCAGTCTGACAGCTGGGTCCGAAATGTTCAATACTGTGATGTAACATTCTTTAACTCACGGACTTAAATATACAGGAGATTTTCAGAATTAGAGGTCTCAGTTTTTAATTTCATGTCTGTTTACACAACAGTGTAGAAAAGATTACTTCCTGCACACAGGTGCCAAAAACAAGAGAAGAAAAAAAAACACCGAGCCTGAATCAGCAATTTTATCATATGCATATTGTACTTAACAACACACTATTATCCAGCATTCTGACTGTAAAAGACTACACTTGGTCTTTCTTTTAACTTTCCTACCAGCACGGTACTTGGCAGGTTTGAAATAGTTTCATTCTTGCATCCTTCTTATTACTCTTGACAAACTGTATTGTATTAGACCCACCAGTAAAAACTGGGTGAACTCTGGGTATGTTAGGTGTCTTTTTCTATCCTTTCCAAAATGCAGTTGTACGAACTCTGAATTCCAGTTAAAAGGAATGTGCTGATGAATCGTGGTCTGGCCAAAAACTTGCTTAGCATCCTCTGGGAAGAAAAGAAAAATGTTCATTTAATAATGAAATAAAATAACCACAAGAAACAAGCATATAAACAAATATGACATTTTCTAGCAGGAAAGCAAATATTGTTCACATAAATTAATAACACACCATAAAGCAAACCTAATTTTTTTTGTTCACCAAAATTATCATAAAGTTTTGAACACCCTCACAGTTTCTGAATAATCCTTTTATTTGTGAATTTTATACTCAAAGCATTTGACTAAAAGAGACCCTGGATATTTGAAGTTTCCAATTCAAGCAAGAAAAGATTAAATTAAAAGTCAACTTATAAGAACAAGACTAACGCTAACCAATTTCCAGCATAATCTTTTCAAGATGCTAACAATGAAAGTTCTGTGTCACTATAATTCAGGCTGTTGTATTATTCCCAGAGTTTTCCACATTCAAACAAATCAACTCCAAAAATACCAGTATTTCAAGATCTGCTTTTCTGTAGCTGGAGCAGTGACATGCAGGCCAGAGGATGGGGGTACACAGCAGGCAGGAACACAAACTTAGCACCATCTCCAGCACTAAGCAGAATTTAACCCTAGACCTCTGCTACAAGGACAGGGGCAGTGCAACAAGTTTGATTAATCACAACAAAATACAAGTTTCATAGTTTAGTAGTCATAAATAGGCAGAGGTTTTGGTAATATATGGCATTTTTGGTAAAGAAACAACTATTTGAAACACACCAAGTTGTACAATCTTAAGTAAGTACCATACATTGCTGGAACTGGACAGTACATATTTTAACTAAGGAAACAGCAAGAAGATCTGACGAAGTACTTGTCTCACATGACAGTGCCCACTTCAATGGGATAGTCTGTCTCAGCCAAAACTACAGAGCAAAGATATCTTCTGAAGACAAGCTCAAGGCCAGAGGTTCCCAACTGCTGCAAACCTTCCTAATTGCTGTATGATTCTCCAGCAATTCCAGCCAAGAGCCAGTTCTTGTCTCCTGCTAGTTCCTGCGGGCTCAGAGAGCTGGTTCCCAGGGCACACTCCCTACCCACAGGCAGGGCCAGGAGCTGGTCTCCTGCTCCCTTCACGCTTTGTGGGATAAAGACCAGGAGCCCAAACCCCAAGCTCCTGTCTGTCTCTGCAAGGAGCAGAGCTGGAAGCCAGTTCCCAAGCATGGCTGGTGCTTGGGGTCAAAAAAATCATTGCAGCTTTGTGTCTGCCTGTGTTCAGAACAAGCTGGGAGCCACCTCACTGGAGCCAGCCTCTGCCTACCAGGCAGGCCTGGGAGCCACCTTCCAGCTCACCCCAGTGCCACAAGTGAAGGTAGGAGCCAATTCCTTGGGGCCGTAAGTTGAGTTCCGGCTTCTGGTTCAGCCCATGCCAGCCAGGCACAGTGGCTCTGCTGACCTGGGGAGACCCAGACAGGGTGCAATTCCCACTTTTAGACAAGGAAATGGGAAAACTGGAAACAGGGTGGCATGGCCAAGAGCTGGGAAGATGTCAGGAAGCACCACAGTGAATTGAGGATAAAGACATAGGAAAAAATGGTCCCAAGGAGGTGAAATGGGTAAGTGTCCTTCTACACAGACCCAAAAACACTGCAGCTCGTGTTAGCCACCAGGAGAGCTTGTTCTAAAGCGAGGGGGCTTCACAGAGCAAGCAGAGATGATACCGCAGATCTCTTCCCATCCCTTGACACAGTCAGTAATTTCATGTTTATAAACACAGCCCACACTGATCCCAAGGAATCAGTGGTGAAAAGGCAAGTTGGATTTAATTTACAAAGATTGACCCCAGTTAACATCAAATTCATAAAACTCAGAACTTCAAGTCCTAATGTCCTATGAGAATTTTCTCCAAGCAACATCAGTGCCCCCAGGGCAGCATTGTTCATTCATGTCTTCAAGCTCCCTCACAGCTGGCTTGGATCTTGTCTGCCAGCATTTTCCAGAAGCAAAATTCTGCTCTCCAGGCAATGGGAGGTAAAGCCAATTGGTTCAGAGTGAGGTCTTGTCCCTCTACTGAAAGTCTTGTATTTAGCATGCTTCCTCCTGACACAGCTCAAGGCACCTTGCCACATGTCATCAGAGATAACCTTTCTGAAGTTTCTGCTTTCTACCAGACTTCCTCCAAAGAAGTCAACTAGCATGAAAAAAACAGCCTGTCTTACACACAAGCAGGAGAAAATAAAGGCTGTCTCTTCCTGGTAGCAACCATTCTGTTTTTCCAGAGGAATTAAGATATTCCCAGAACTCCGGCACCTGTCTCCTGCACAGAAATTAGATGCTTATCCGTTTCTTTACCTTTCATCCCGCCTCCAGAGTTTCCCTAGAGCAAAACATTGATATTATTTGGGTGAGACTAGGAACGAATCACCATTTACCAAAGCTATGTTTGGTTGGACTCCAAATGAGTCCTTTTAAAAGAGAAAAGGTGCCTTCTTACATGATACAAGGAAGAGACAGAAAAATCTTAGCTAGTATAAAAGTAGCCTCAAATTTCTTTTGACTGAGCCAGGCTCCTCACATTATTTACTTGTTAACATATGAAAGTTACTGAGTGTCCTCTGATTATACATCTGTAATTTTATTTTAACTCGTTATCATACATTAGCTGTCTTGAAGGAACAAATGAATCTTGATCCCCCAACTCTGTGCTTTCTAAGCCCTCCTTAGCTGGGGCCCAAAAGAAAATTTCCAGCTCAAGAAAATCAAACATTAAGAAGTGAAATGAATGGTAATTTCAGAATTTCAGACAAAATACGATGTTTAATTACTGGCCTTACAAACAGCAAAAGAACTCACAGCAATGGTACTTAAAACCTCATCAAACCAACCAGGAATACAGTAAGGTCTATATCCAGGGCATTTGCATTCCCTTGTCTATTTTAGAGATTAAAGGGTACATGCATGCCTCAGAAGTTCATGTAAGTACAAATACCCCTCTGAACAGTCCAAACAGGAGATGTACACTTAATTTTTGCTATGACTTGGAAATGCAGGCCACCCCATTAGTATAGGTATTTAGCACAACAGTAAGAGAACTCCCTACACTACTTGTTCTGTTCAAAATTACACTGTATACTGATGTCAGTATGACTTGGCAACTAATAACAATGCTCTTCTGACAAAGTGCATGTTGGATTAGACAGCGCAGGCAGCTGACTGGAAGATTGTCTACTGTGCTTCTACTGATTCTTTGATGGCATGAGACATGGTATCCAGTTTGCCACTGTCTTTTTACACATACCCTGTACTTGCTTTTGCAACTATTTATGGTTCACAAACTCCCACACATGCTCAGTGGACAGTGTTTTTCCTCTCTCCTTGCTAGATCTCATCACCCATTCATCTACCACAATGTCACTGACTCAATCTCATCTGTAGTCAGATTGCCAGATTCAGACATTAAAGATCATTTTAGCCTGTGATTTAACCACCAAAAGGTATCCAGTTATGTACTAGAACTCACTCCAAGTTATTGTTCAGTTCTAACAGTAGCATCTCCTAATTATCTAAGTCCAGTATTAAAATAAGAAAAGGACAATTTTAAAATGTAGTTTTGCTTTAAACCTGCAGCTGAAGTTCCACGGCTACCCACAAGTCACTGAACTAAACACAGTAAAACAGAGAAACAGCTATGTCCTTCAGTAGCCAGAAGTTATTTTGTTTGCTTAGACCTTTTTTGAAAGGAATCAGTTTCACAGAGTTACAGAGTAATTTGTGATGGAAAGGACATCTGGATGCCATCTGGTCCAACCTACTGCCAAAGAAGGTCCAACCAGGTCAGGCTGTTCAGGGCCATGGCCATCTAAGGTTTGATTGAGTATCTCCAACAAGAGAGATTCCACAACCTCTCTGGGCAACTCTGGTTTGATCCTAAACCACAAAATATCTGATATAGTTGAAGATGTCCCTGCTCATTGCAAGGGGGTAGGACTAGATGACCTTTGAAGGTCCCTTCCAACCCAAACTATTCTATGACTCTATCAATGGAAGCTTTTGAATTCATATTAAAACATTGTTTAATGTTTCAGATTTAGATTTAAAAAGGCAAAACATTAATGCTTCAGTGTCTGGAGCACATGATCAAATGCTAGCAAAAGATAAAACCACTTCTGTGTTTCACTGTTTCAACCAGAGCTGTTAGAATGCAAAACAAACAACAGGCTGAAGATTTCAAATATTAATTTTTATAAATCCATGCTGTCATTTCTGAAAATCTTTTAAAAAATTAAACTCTGAAACTCAGTTTTAAAAAAAATTGCAAGGTTCTAAAACAAATAATTGTTTGTTCTGTGCTACCTCTGATTAAGAAACAGGTAACTTGTCATAGGTTTCTGATCGCTGTACAAAAAAATTGTTCTGTTTTCCCTCCAGGTGAACTGCCTGCTAGTTTACAGTGGTGGGTATTTGGTCTTTGGAGTTCTGGGGGCTTTCTTCTCTCCAGTGTACTGACTGTGCACTATCTATTACATCTGAAATTCTTTCAAACTATTTATTTGCACAAGTACACAATTTTTTCACACAGTGTCATCATGAACTCAAATAAAGTTAATACTTTCTCAATGTATAGCTACAAAAAAATCATCATTTACAAAAATCCCATTGCTCTTACAAAAAAGCTGCAACAGTTTTGCTGAAAAGCTGTCATCGTAGGCTCTTTTCTACACAAGTTATATCTTCTATACATTTTATGTATCTCACATCATTACACAGTAAGTGATTTGTGCATGGTATAGAAAACCTGAACCAAAACCCTGGGTCTTGAGAAAAAATTATTTTACCCTGCTGATATTGGTAATAGCAACTTCTATAAAGGACACAGGGTACCTTCTGTAAAGAGCAAAACAAAAGACAAATTTGAAAAGACATGAATTACCACAAGTTAACAAGAGTTCCACATGCACCAATAACTTTTTCAAACCCTTCTGGAAGTAACTGCTTCCATATTCATCACACTTAAGGCCCTGAAGAGGAACATACGAGCATTATAGCTACACCTTGAATTAAACAA